AGCAGGAATATTAGACTGCTGTCACTTTAAGAGCTGCCCGGATCCAATATACTGTTATACACGTTTTCTTTCTTAGCTGTTTGCTTTCACTTAAGATCTAAATTACTGTATTTACGAGGATACTTGCAAAGACAGGCATTTTGACACATACAAGTGTGTGTGTTTAATAGTTCAAGCCCTATAAAGCGGCAAAAATATCTCTATGAGCACCGTCTTCACATGCGTGCACCTCTCTGACAGTGATCAGAAACAGTCTCTCAGACAGCATATAGCTAAATGAGTTCTCTTTCACTGTTGATTGTGTTTCAACAGCTTAAAAATCACTCGTTTTTAAACAGCAATGCTTAAAAAGTGTAAAAACAATAAGTTTTTATAGCACGAAAGCGTGTAACCACAATAGAGACGATAGTCCAAAATCTCTACCAGTTGACAAATTCCTACCAGTATATCACCCACCCCTAAGTAGTATATATGACTACATTATTCTAAATTAATAAAGAATAAACATTTACAATTTGTACATTCTAAATGGAAGAAACCCCCTTTATAGAGTTCATTCCATTGCAAAAATAGTCTTTTGATCACCAAAACAAACATGTCCCTACCCAAAAGGATCACAACCTTATCTTGAAAGCTTTTTTTTAATGTATTTTTATATTCAATAAGAATTTTTAAAAGTTACACATTCACGGGTCATTCTTTTCTCTGTGTGCAGGTGAAGCTGAGCGATCGTGTGGTGTCCACCAATCACGGCTTGCTCATCCGTTCAGTGCATTCCTCGGATCAGGGTGTGTATTACTGCCTGGCCACAGAGAATGGCTTCAAGCGCACACTTGCTAAAATCCGTCTCCAGATTCTGAGCGAAGCTCTGGTCAGCGCTCTGAGCAACAATCAGTCTCCCTGGGGCTGGGCAGCCTCACTGCACCCTAAAGCCCTGGTGTCAGCCTTCAGCCCGGCTGAGACGTTGGCCATGCACCAATACTGCAAGGAACGCAAACAGATGCAGAGTCTGCAGAACATACAGAACCCCATGAGAGGTGATCTGGGCAAACTCAAACCCTTGCTGGACCACAGGAAGAGCAGGAACCGCCGAAACCACTTACGAGAGGAATAGAGTCGAAACATGAACAAAGGAAATGGATGGAGAGATGACGAAAAGGAAAAAAAAGACATGCATCAGGAGAGAGCTTGAGTGGAAAATAGAGGAGAACGCTGGAGAAGATTCCTCTGTTATGAACCTCAATTGTGGTTCTTCAAGATCAAAGCATCTCAGGTGCTTCCTGTACAGCAGTCTTATATACACGAACGCCCAGAGCAGAGGACTCGGAGACATCCTCACACACAGGCACTCAAGCCAATTTGTTTCAAGCAGCATAATACAAAATGCCATGTCATACGGTAGTATTGTTATCATTTTATGTGAATGTGGCATTTCAGAACAAATCATGAAGTTAATACAAAGTCCTTCAAGACCCAATGAAATGGCTTGATGAGGACAGTTTTTTTTTTCCTGTGTTGATGTATTTCCTATTGAAACAGGCATTTGGGGCGAGACATATGGAGGGGCTTGTCCCTTTTTAACAGCCTTTAGTTTACATTACAGCCATGAACATTTATTTCTGCTTGCTAATGCTAGTGAAGTATTACCAAATGGGACAGTATCATTCTAGAGCGCATTTCAACAGACAAAAAAAAACAAAAAAGTTTACTCATCAATATTTTGGGTTGTTTACTGAACGAGAAAGACTGTAAATTGCAAATGTACATATCTGCTAAAGATTTGTCCAATTTTAGGACTACATATGCATTAGCCTTAGCCTCAAAGCTAACAGACATGGACAAAAAACCCACAGAAATTGTTTTGTTTTCTAGTACATATCGGATAAAATCTTATTAGATATAGATTTTGAGAGTATTCTGTTAACTTATAGATGTAAAGTTGAATTAGCTTCTAAACTATTGATTTCTTCTACATTTTCTTTAATATCCCTGCAGAACATTGTGATTAGAAGTATATGCTAGCAATCCAAGTTTAATATACACGCCATGTTTAGGGCAAGAAATTTTGGAAAATTGCCATAAAATGGAACAAATTTGTCTATTCTACTACCTACAACTCTTCAATAACCATAACTGAACTACAAGGCTACATTAAATATTAACAGTAGTCTTCTAAAGTCAATCAATGGCCTCCCTACATTGAGATGATCATTTGTGGATTAGAGCTCATCTCAAGCTTGTAAAAGCTTGTTTTCTAGCAAATGAATTGTTTATGGTCACTGAACAGATCATGAGAATATTTGTTGGAGATAAAAACATGACACATACACCAAAGTACATCATCCCAGCTGCACCACAGATGTTCATACGGGAAGTGAGAGGGAGAGAAGATGGTTTGGAGGCGTTTCAAACTGTACCAGACAGGTGGCTCTCTCAGCCCATAATACTGTAAAGAGTGTTGTGCTTTGGGAAACATCATTAATCCAAAACACATCATTTTTTCCTTAGAAATATGACTGGTTCGTCATCATTTACTCACCCTCATGACCTTCTAAAAACGTCGGACCTTGAGTATAATGCACATGTCGTATGGACCACTTTTCTGAAACGTTTTTGTCCTTTAAAAAGCTTGACAGTCAGTGGTCATGTTTTCAGTATATGGAAAAGGGCAGCATGATCATTCTGCAAAATATCTCCTTTTGTATTCCTGAAAGAAAGAAAGACATGAGGGTAAATTTTCACGGGTGAACTATTGGATAAAAATGTTGATTGTATGTGCACGTTTTCTTCTTTTACTAACATGGTATCCACATTATTTTTCAACACAGAAGTTAGCCGTTTTCTGTGAATGTGCGAGACTTCTGACTCATAAGCCTAATTGGAAAATAACTATAAGAACAACAAAAATGCAGTAAACAGTAAAACTATTTGCGCTACAAACTAGTGTATTAATAATTACAACAATACATTAAAATATTATGATAAGAAATGCCAGTTTTTAATATCAAGCAGCAAAATGGACAGCTGAAAGCATATAACAATGGAAGCATGCACATTCAAGTTACAAATGGCTGCATCCGATCTATATGTTAAAAATAAGGTGAATATAAAAGTAGATATTTTGTAAAGTAGATTTAGATAAGCCCCAGAAATACCGCAGTGTTTAAATCACATAAGGATAGGCCCAAAAAGGCATGTGATCATGCATATTGTATCATCGTTATACAGGCACGTTTGATGTTGGAAATGAATGTCATGTTAATGTTTTGTGGTTTGCTCAGTGTGCACCGCTGTAATGTGATTGTCACTCATTTTAGATGATGTATAGCATTGTACAGCCTCCAATTTTGGATTACTCGATGTCTGTGTAACTTATCTCTTTTTGTATTTTGAGTATCTGTGTAAATAGTGAGAACTTCGGTCACACTTCAATGTTGCAATAGATTTCTCTATGGCTATTAGAATAATTTCATTCACATTTGTAGTTTTCTCTCTCTCTCTCTCTGAAATGCCCAAATTGAATTTTGTTTAATGCCAAATTTCTGATGTTTTTGACTGAATCTGCATTTTGCAGACGTTTCATGTTCACTTTTTTTTTCTGTGGCAATTTTGTGCCCTCTTCAAAGGGCATTTGGAGTAACAATGTGTTTTAATATAATAGGTTACTATAGCGAAAATGCTGTATTCCCTGTGAACGTTAATGATATTTTTATTTTATTATGTCTTGATTTGTGTATTCCTATTTATTAATGATATAAACCTGAACAACTGCATTAAACAACTTTAATCTGTCCCATGTGTTACAGACTCTTCACAAAAGAATCTGAGAATTGATTCATATCTGTAATAAATTACTTAATATTAATCCGATTAAACTCATTAAGAGTGAAGTTGTGAAGACAGCAACATTACACATGAAACATAATGAAAACAAAATTCACACCGCAGCAGAATAAGATCGTCAGTCTTGTGTTTGAACCATGGTTTGAACGAATAACTTAATATGGTTACGTTCACAGTTCAGTTATTTACGACAGTGACAATTTTACTCGATTTTTAGGACTCACAACCGCATTTTCGGTTAATATGTGCTGTGTTATTGGGCAATTAGTTGTCTATCACGTTAATACGACGCAAACTCGCGCGTCTTCTGTTTGATGTGTATTTTCATATGTGGTTTCGATAACTTACAGAGAAGCAGGAATGTGTCATCTGAAGGTTTTAGATCCAGTCATACAAAGGAGCTTGATTCAGTTTTACGGTCAGCTTCAAACTGTTATAAAAGCTGCTGTCTGTTACTTAGACTGATAAATTGACTGATGATGAATTCGCGCCTACATCATGTTACATGATATTCAGTTATCGCGAGAATAGAAAGTTGTTTAAAAAAAAAACAGTTGGTTCAACCGTAATTTCATGAAGCTACAAGAATTCTTTTTGTGTGCAAAGAAATTAAAAAATAACTACTTTATTCAACAAATCTCCTTCAAATCACGTCTTATGCCAGTACCTCTGCACGTAAACGACGCATGCGCGTGATGCTGTTGACAGAACACATGCACTGAGCCTCATTTATGCACAATTATGCTGCGTTCAAGTCCTCCTGGGACATTCGTACTTACGAGTTGACAAATCGTAATTACGACGTCAGGTGCGTTCAAGTCAGTTTAGTCGGCACAAGATGGCGGTGTACCTTCTTTTAATAAATTACAAGAAAATACAACAGGGTCTGTTAACTCTGCTTATAGAAAATTAAAAGCAAAGAATTCGCATCAGGTGTGTTTTGCGTTTTTAATATTTTGTTTTAGACCAGGATCCCAGTATAACTGATTTTCAGCATCAACAAATGCTAAAATACAGAGATTTAAAAAAGCTGTTAGCGAAATGCAACATGCAACATGGCAAATCAAAAGATTTTTCACCTATAGGTGCAAAAATGATAGCATTTTTTTTACTTGGATTTAATTAACTAGCTGCGTAACAAGAACATGACCAATTTAAGTTTATAGGACAACTAAACTATCAATTTAAACAAACATTTACCGTCAACTACAGACGTTGCATCCATCGATTCCGCCATGTTTCTCATTGACACGCCCCCAACTTGGAAACTCGGGGCTTAAAGAAAATTTTGAGTTTCCCACTCGTAATAACGACTTTGTGGTGGCGTTCATGTGCGTTCAACTCGTAAATACGATCTATCCGACATGACTTGAACGCACCATTAGTATCCAGCTGCAAAGGAAAGCAATGGCATGCGTCTTGGTACTCTCCATAATGGCGGAATACTTGACTTGGAGGAGAAGAATTGTTGGAAGTCGTTATTTTTGTTTTCTTTGAACACAAAAACTATTCTCCTAGCTTCATAAAACTACAATTGAACCACTGATGTCACATGGACTATTTTATGGATGTCCTTACCAAGTTTCTGGGCCTGGGAACATTTCAGTTTCATTGCTGCCTATGCAGGGTCAGAGAGCTCTTGGATTTCATCAAAAATATCTTAATTTGTGTTCCGAAGATTAACAAAGGTTTTACGGATTTGGAACGACACGAGGGTGAGTAATTAATGACAGAATTTTCATTTTTGGGTGAACTATCCCTTTAAGAGTGTTATTAAATTATTAGTGTTAAATTGTTTGTAAAAATTATTTTTATGATGGTGGCAAAGGTAAGATGTAAAAATAGAGGAAACGAGCATGCAAAATTAATTAATATATAAATTAATATACACACACATACAGTAAAAAAAATATCTAATATCAACCAATTATCAATTTGGTTCTGAAATACTATGCACCCTTTTTATAATGCATCATACAGTATTTGGACATATATTACTCAAGGAGCTGTTTTAATGTCATTAACAAACGATTATGCGTATTTTTATGTTAGTAGCATGGACATTTGTCAAGCCTTTATTCCAAAAACCTGCTGTTTGCTCTGGCCTTTAGCAGTTTAAAACCCATGGGTCAAACCAGAGCAGAAAAGCAGCAGTCGGAGATGACCAGTTGCGTTTTATAATTCATAAAGCAGGAGGGATACAGAGCTCCCAGGCCTACTTTCATATTAAACAAACCCGTTTCCCACTCAACCCCAAGCCTCTCGTTCTACAAAACCTCCCATTCTGATTTAGCAGCCATTGGAGAATGGAAAGTAAATCGTGTAGATTTACAGGGTATAACAGAGAAATCTGTTCCAGAATTTCCTCTGTGTCTGTTTATCAGTCTGGTGATTGTTCTTACAC